AATTATTGAAAAATATTTTTATAATATATCAGATATATTATTGATTCGATAATATTTCAGATATCTATATGTTTCCAATGACGACGTAGAAGCAAGAGGAAAGAAGCTTTCTTCCAAGAAGGATAGTAGATTCAACAATGCAAAAACTATTAAAAACACTAGGCAATATCACTGTTTTCTACCCATAGACTTAAATACAATGAAAGCTAAACTATATTCTTTTGATACTGAGTTTGACGTTGTTAATATAGCTTAAAAATAAAGATATTTATTTCAATTTACAATTCATTTGATTTATTTTATGAATGCTTGTATGCTGAAGTAAATATATTCTACAAAACCGCTCACAAAAACTACGTATATTTATCAGGTACAATTAAATTATCTTTATTTAATAAAATCACATATTATAAATATCTATAACCAGAAAAACATTTGCAATGTAATTGACAAAGAAAAGAGGAAAAAATTTTTTTTTTAGGATTCCATAATTATTTAAGAATAGAGGAAAAACATAAAAAAATTGATGAAAATACATGCCATTTATCGTTTGATGGAGCCCGATGCCAATTACGGAACTTTTTTCCCCCTATTTCTGAACACTTCTGGAACATTTCCTGAAATTTTTAGCTCAAAAGAAATAGGTAAACGTATTGAAAACTGCACTCAAAAATCGCAAAAAATGCGTTTTTTGCTAAAATTGCAAACTTGGAAGGGCAGTATCTCCGTCAATTTTGAACATTTTCTTACGTATGAAGACTTGTTTTTTTTTGTCTTGAAAAGACCAAAAAAATGGTGTCTTGTGCGATGAAAAATATTCAAAATTGACAATTTTACAGAGCTTTAAAGATAAGAGGAAATCGAATAAAATGTGCTTTACGTTCCTGGCCGTTTAGCTACTTCCGGGTCACATAAACTTATTTTGAAATATACCAATGGAAAGCTCTTAAAAAGAAAAAGAGAATGAGCTCTCGCCCGTTACTGTAGCTTCAAAATTGACGATTCTATGACACTTTGAAAATGGCCATTTTTTGACCGATTTTTGGTCGATTTAGGGACTTTGAAAAAATCTAGGGACCCTAGATCTGCTTAAAAAAATCTGAAAAAATTCAAGACGTCATATTTTGACATATGAAATCTAGAAAAAAATTGGCGTCAAAATCGGTTGACCCCGTGCGCACGGTTTTGACGAGAAGTATTAGAATGACCCATATAAATAAAGATATAAGATGTAACGGGGTGGTTATTCTACAAAAATGAGAAATTTATTAACGCACAAACTCCCACGATCGTAACCGCCGCTCCGTTAAACACGTATGAGTATACGTGAATTCGCCTTTACGTTTAATGATTTCGTTCCAGTGTCTTCTTTCCAACCGAGTTGAACTCATCTTAAGTCACTTGACTTGTGACACTCGATCTCTCTTCAATATGAATGACTTAATGCCTAATCCACCTAAGCCCCTAGACGAAATTGGATTAAGGCTTAAGCCTTTATAGATTTATTGAGCTAATAGGAAACGAAATTACGTAAACGGCGAATAAAATTAACAAAGTTTAATTAATAAAAACTACAGACTTTTATGGGCCGAAAGACTAACGCAGGCGAATAGGATTCACAATTATAGATTATAATTCGGTGTAGAGAGAGAGAGAGAGAGAGAGAATTCGAAAATTGCCGCGAAATCTAACTCTCGGCGCGAATACAAAAAAGTACGCGATAGACAAAATACCGTAGGAAGTATTTTGTTGCGCAATAATAAAGGGAGGTGCACCTACCCTGCGGTGCAATTACGGTGATCAGCCGTAATTGTTGAAGGAAAATGTAAACGGTGCTCCTTGGATCAGCTGCGCTGCCTCGCTCAAAATCTGCTACTGCCTGTTGCTGCTGTAATGCTGCTGCTGCTGCTATAATGCTGCTGCTGCTTCCTCGATACACTCACGCACGTATCAAAATCCCAGGAAACTTTCGATAAAACACGGCGAAACTCTGTGCAAAATATTTGATGGTACTTTCACGAAAGCAGCTGAGGCTTAACTGAATATTCAAACCCTCGCGCGCCCCTTTCTCTAGTCGTTCGAACTAACATTGCGAGTGTACCGAATCGCGAACGGATCGATTAATCGAATCGACTACCGTTGCAATGTATAGAATTAACGCTTTCGATTTATATACTATTATTTGTTTAAATAAATTATTAATTGTTTATTTATTGATAACAGAAATAACTAAGTCGTTATCAATGAAACGAATTCTTACTCATATTTCTCAGATAGTCATCTTGAGTTCATAATATTCGCTTTACTATAATAATTAACATTTACAAAGTTATGAACAAATTAAGTTTACACATTAAAATTCAATACTATTTAATAGTTAAAAGTACTTAAAACATTATAATCTTAATCTATGGCTTAGAAATCTATATAACTTTGATTTATTGAAATTACTCTTGATAACACATTTTAATTGAGCAATAAAAATTATCATATCTATATCTATAAGTAGAGTGACGTCACGCTTCTTATATGGTCATGAAATTTGACTCTAGGACTAATACAATCATATAATATACTAATATAAACTAATAATAATATACTAATAATAAGCTTTGTAATAAATATACTAATATACTAATACTAAACGCTGTTTAATATACTAATTGATATATGTAGATTCATGAGTTTAGCGGCTTGCAGTAATCCAGTGAAAATAAAAGAAATGCTCATAGATAAGACCATTATACTATTACTGTTTTTATCTGCTCGGTTTGGTGTCGACAAAGAAGATAAAGAAATATAACGATGCATTACTTGCTAATTTAAATCCTTGTTTCGCTTGATTAGATTGCTTAGTTACCTTTTGTTGAGTTGAAGCGCGATCTATTTTACCGAAATAATAGTGGTATGTTGTATGTACCAGATAATAAGTCATTTCTATAGTTTTTTTTTAACTTTGTTTTTTAATATTTCATACATTAGACTATCCTTTGCACTATGGTTTGTATTAAAATCAGTTTTGTATTTATTATTGCTGAAAGTAAAATTAGGACAATTATATTATTTTCATTGCATTTATCTACAGTATGTTTTCCAGCATATTTCATACACATTAAACATTTGTAGCATGGAATGATATTGATGATCTCGTAAACTTTGCAATTTTGACATCCAATAAATAATCTATTTTTGTTATTATTGATATACATATAAAAATTTGAAGAAACTTCAATTATTGCTATTGATGTTTGTGATTTTTCATTTAAATAAACATGAAGTACTTTACATTTGTTATCATAGCTATTAAAATTTCTTTGATTAATGTATGACTCAATGTCTATTTCATTTGTACGAGTAGTAAATGCTTTGCTTATGCCTGCGACTTTTACAACAGGGTTTTTTTATTTGTCCTTTCTCAATTTTGACAGTTGCTGGTAATTTTTTGGTCCAAGTTTTTTCTATTGCATTTGCACTGTCTTCATTCATGCAATCAATATTATTGTGTCATTGTTTTTTACGTAGATTTTCTTTTATTTGAATGGTTTTGTCTTTTAACAAATGCTGTGCTACATCAATTCCAAAGTTTGTATTATAATTTCTATTTCTTTTCTTGAATATTAATCGCGGTACTTTTTATTTTTTGGTTTGGGTTTTGTAATAACTTTAGCACAAGAACTTTTGAAAATATTTGTATTTTTGTTTCATTATAAGACACCAAAGATTCCGTTACTAAAATTTCAACTGTCGCTTTCGGATAAATGAACTTCATTTTTTCCACTTGAAAATATTATACACATCGTAATTTTTAAATATAAGCTTGTTTATTATATATCCTTCAAAAATTTTTTTATCGCCAATTTTTTGACAAATTAAACAATTCACCTTCTGTGGTCCTTAAACTAAAGTTAGAGATATTTTGCAAGTTTGAAACATCTTTTACAGAGATTATTTTATTTTCGATTTCCTGCGATTTTATTAACACTTATCACGAGTTTGTGAAAGAAAAATAGTTATGTTATCTGCACTGGTATTTTCTTCGACAAGATGTATTTATTTTTTCTTATGTACTTCTTTATTTTTATGTTTTTGTACAAGATTTGAAACGTTTTCAACTTTACTGAAACATTTATGTGAACCAACTCTATGAATTATAGAAAAGCACTTTACACACCATTTTACTATAAATTGTTCCTTTTTTTGACTTCTTGTACTTTGATATATTTTCGATTTCTAATTGTTTCACAAAGAAAATAGTTGCACACATGATCATTCGATCTTATGAAACAAAAATTAAATTTTGAGTAGTCTAATAGAATAACTTTTTTCATTTTTATAAACTTTACTGTAGCATGTGGTACAAATAACAATGGTTGGCGCAGATGCATTGATTTTGAAATTAATTATGCTTTCAATTTTCAATTGAAACTTTCCTTCAATCGTTTTTATGCTTTACTTCAAGAAAGACAAAGTAAACAGAGTCATTTTCTGTTATCTTCACATGTAGATGAAACATAATATTTTGTCATGATCATGTCATTTTATAAATATTTTTGAAACTTAATTTATATCCACAATTCAGTGAATGTAAAGCACCTTGCGTCTAACAATTCCAAATTAATACTGATTGGCAAAGCTACAAATATTCATTTTATAGCCTCTATCATGTTTTACGATATTGACATCTTGCCTGTATATAGATTGACAGCTCGTCTCACTCATATACACATATATTTCAATGAAAGAAAAAAAGAATCAAAACAAAATAGCAAGCAGTCATCCAACCTTTTCCGTGCGTTCATAATGTATCAGAAAAAAATTGTTCCATTCACGATTGTAAATCAAGTTTATTTTCATTATATATATTATTAAAAACGTAATTGCGCAAAAATTCGCGGAGTTAGTATTATTATTAGTATTTATTTCAAATGGCTAAAGAATACCATAAATCGATAAATAGTTTTTACTAAAATTGATGTATATGACTTAATTATTCTACTAACTTTAATATTCTTTTACTCCCATCTGCTTCAGTGAAAGTGAAATTGGGCATGACCGATGAATCATGGTTAGTGATCAAAATATTTGGACTATTCAATCGTTTTGCTTGGTGAACCAACATATAGCAACGATTATTATCCAAATCATTTGCAATTACAAAACCATCTAGAAATTGAATTAAATTAAAATTTCCAAACATTATAAGAAAAAAATAAAAATTTATTGCTTACCAGGAACGGGAACTTTTTCATCACTGTGAATCATTTCTATCAGTTGTGCGGTTTTGGATCCAGGAGCTGCACACATATCAAGAATCTGAAATTAAAAATATGTAGTTAAAAATTTATTTTTTATCAATGCTAACTTAAAAAAATAGATATAATTATGAATCCTTCATTCCTATTCTTTCTAATTATTCCACATTCCAAATTATTCCAGAAAAATCTCAACAGTAATAAATTTGTAACGAAGAATCACGGCTTTGTCGCGTTCAGGCTGAGAGTGTGTGCGTATACATACTCTTATGCCTGTTTCTCTATTCGAGGTTCGGTGAATCACCTGATTGGCGAAGCCGAGAGCGGCCGACGACTGAGAAGGAAGCGAGATAGCAAACACAAGGAGAACTAAATCAAGAAAGATGGAGAGAGGGTTCTTGAAAGAGCGAATTTAAAAGGGTAGATTGAGCAGGTTGTGAGATAAGGCGCGTCACTGATTTTACAACGGTTTATTTTCAAGATCAGTCTCATTGGTTTTTGATTGTTGAAGAATCTCGACCGGTATATGATCGAATTTGCTAGAGTTTATAGACGTTGGTGATTGGGTCGCACCTAGCTAGTATCTTATCATGGCACCGGTGCATGTGGGATTCCAGTACTAGCGCACGCGACGGTTACAATCGGCAACAACAATAGTCAGAAGTGGAGTATAAGCAACAGCAACACCAGCGAGCGGTAGTAGCGACGATTATCTGCAGCAAAGAATGGTCGTCCGATCGCGGAAGATCGGTATCATATTTTTTTTCACTCTCCCCCCTCCCCTCTCTTGCATATTCGGGCGTTACGAGTACACGTGTACGGTCAGGCAGTTTTCCCAACCGCTGCATTGGTTGGCATATCGGTCGGTCGTAGGTTTCGTCGGATTCAAATGGAAAAGGATTACCGAACAGATTTCGGTAATCTGATTGATGTATTCATATTGCCACCGTCTTTAAATATGCCTAATCCAGTTTAGATTTATACACGTGTGCACTTGATGTATTTTTCTTCTATCTATAATTAAAATTAGTTTTATTTAATTGAGTGGCACCGTATTTCGCATATCACTAATACCCATCCCAACATTAGTTTCGCGGACGATTGATATACACATCCGATATATTCAAGGCTCAAGGTTATTGTGATGTAATTTTTTTTAATTTAACGTTACTCAGAAACATCGACGTGGATGTAGTAAAATCTGTTCCCTTTGGGGAGCTTAATTAGCATGAATCTCTTGCCTCTCAAGATCGGGATGCTTAATTTTCGTGAGTCTCCTTATCTCTCACACTTAATTATTGGAAGCAATAATCACATTTTACTGTAAGTGCTCGAACTGTCCATTCACTTTTTGACAGTAAGCTAATCAATGGTAAAAAACATTAATAGCATTTTGGATGGTTTGAGTAGAAATGAGAGCAGATTAGTTTATGATTTTTTGCCGTAATTCTTCCAAGTTTCAGAGATTTGTTTTGAACACCCGACCCTTTAGATTTTCCCAATGAAAATGGTCTTACGGCGTGAAATCTGGTGATCTAGATGGTCATTCAATTGTACCCCTTCTTCCTATCCAACGATTAGTAAATATCTCATCTAAATACGCGCCAATGTCTCATGCATAGTGAGGTGCTACACCAACCTGTTGAGGCCATATATTTTCAAAGTTATCTCATACTATTTTTCTTATAGCAGGAATTATTTAAGCTCGAAGCATATTTTCGTAGTTTTCAGCAGATAAATTTCCATCAATAAAATATGGTCCTATAATACGATCATTAAGTATTGTTGCCCAAACATTCAATTTTTGCAGGTACTATGGTACCTACGATATCCGCAACAATAAACAAAATATTAAATACCCTGACAGTTTGTTATTGAATTCAACACTGGATGCTGCAAATCAACAAAATCAAGAAATAATTGCAATAAATTAAATGGAAAACCTTTAAAGAAAACAACAGTAACAAAAACATGATCAAGAGGTAACGGGGTCTAGGATGTAAAATAAATAACGAATAAAGATATATGGATAAGTGTTATTTAATGAAAGAGTGAGTAGAGGGGTAATAGACAAGGGGGTTTGGAGGGCTGTGCTTATTGGTGGTGAGGGTAGAAGAGTAAAATAGAATTTGGAAAAAGAGTAGGCGTGGAATGAGAGTGCTATAAAGAATAATTGAACCTATAGCATGAAATAACCGTAAAAGTACTTTTTTGGGTTTTGGAGCTATAGTAGGAGGTCGGAGTTTGATTTTGGTGGGTTGTGCCCATTGAGACTGTTGATCAGCATGTTGCTGGGTACCTTTGTGCAAAATTTTAGGAAATTTAGCCGAAAGCTAGTTTTTAGAAGATTTGTGCGGGGTCCTTTCTTATTATTTATAGATGATGAAAATTTAATATAATCGTTTCGCAAGTCGTCTTAAGCTTTTAGCAATGAAACACAATTAGCTGAGTCACTGCGATTTCTTTTTTATATTATTAAGATTAGTGAGCTCAAACAACAATTTTATTTTGTCATATGTCTCTTTAAATCGGAGTACAATACACAAAATAATTAACCTGTTAACGCTGGTTAATAGCCCTCTTTTACCTGTACTTCCGCCCTTTGAATATGACGTTTTGCCTAGAGCTCTTGAACTACTCACTAAATTTTCATTCTCTTCGTTCAATTCTGATAAATAGTCTTCCGGGAATATTAAGATGCTTATTTTAAAAAAATTCTTGACCACCATCTACTATACATTTAATGTTTATATTATATATTTTTTCAGCAATGGGTTGCTATCTAACAATCCTTTTCAGGATATTGGCGAACTATTTCATCGGCGAGTTTTTTTTCATCATTAAGTTGTTTTTCCAACAATTCTTTTAAAGGCAGTTGATTAGTCATCTACTCATACGAGGTCTGTCCGGAAAGTATCGGGCCTACCTTTATATTTTCGTGCTAGCGTTATTCTTTATCATCTGGTGGGTGGCATCCTTCAAAGTAATCCCCACTTGATTGAATAACACGATCACATCGATGTTTCCACTTTTCAAAACAGTCCTGGAACTCACTTTTAGGGATAGCCTTAAGTACACTCGTCGCATTGTTTTCAACCGTTGTTTTGTCATCGAATCGGTGTCCTTTGAGTGGTTTTTTTAGTTTTGGAAACAGCCAAAAGTCACAAGGGACTATGACGGAACTGTATGGAGATTGTCGAAGCAATGCGATATTATGTTTGCTCAAAAACTGCTGCACAAGATTGGATGAATGCGCTGGCGCATTATCGTGACGGAGGAGCCAGTCACCACTTTTCCAAAAGTGCGGCTGTTTTTTTCAGAATTGTAACCATAAATCTATGATTCATCACCTGCAATAACTTTTCTAAGCACATTATCATCATTATTGACCATTTCCAGATTGTCCAGAGCGATTTCTAAGCAAATGTTCTTCTGCTCTGCTGTGAGCAATTTTGGGGTGAATTTCACACACACGCGTTTCATTCCTAAATTTTCGGTTAAAATTTCTGAAATGATAGTTTTTGGTATCCCAAGGTCTTCTTCTAGTTCTCGCACAGTCATACGACGTCATAAGTCGCACCCGCTCAATATTATCTGCGGTTTTTGTCGTCGAAAGTCAGCCGGAACGAGAATCACTATCGATAGAAGTGCGACCATACTTGAACCGTTTATACCACTCTTTTATTCGTGTTTTGCTCATACACTCGCTTCCGAAAGCCTTTTGCATCATTTCAATAGTTTCCGAACTCGTTTTTCCGAGTTGAAAGCAAAATTGGATGCAAATTCATTGATATTGTTTTTCAGTCATTTTTGACAATATCAAAATTCGACGAACACGAAAAAGGCACTGTAAACAAAGATACGCTGCGCATGAACTATACGTCCGGCAGGTGTCAGTAAGTAACCAATAGATTCGTGAGGCTTTACTGTTGACGTTTCTGTCCGGCAGAGGTCGCTTGAACACTATGGCGCGAAAATATAAACGTAGGCCCAATACTTTCCGGAGAAACCTCGTAAATCAAAGTTTTTGTGCTGGAATTTGTTGTTTAACATTTCTGTTCAGACGATGGTCAACTTTTAACGTGGGAATTTTTCAGCGTTCCAATCGTCCTGATAAATTTTGCTACGTATGCTTCACGTTTAAAAAGCAAAAAATCTTTATCGACAAACATGTAAAAACGTTTATAAAAACTATTTCCAATTGCCAATATCTCAATAAGTTAAGTCTTGGGCTCCACATGTAGTACATGCTTCATACGACGAAGTTACTTTTTCAGGTACTTATTCAGTTACTTTTTCGGGCACTATTTCGATTATGTATCGAGAAGGGATGTTATTGCATTGGTGACGTTTATTTATGTTTGTATGTTTTTCAAGCAAATTTTAAAGGACTCTTAACGATGAGAAGGTAATATAACCAGAACAAGATAAAAAGCAAGAGAACAATTAATTAAATGTGATTTAAATTTGTATTTAATATTGATTAATAAAATAAATATTTAAAGTATTAATAATAAAAACGAAATAACAAAAAACAACTCAGAAAACATTACATATAAAGAAAATTAACAATATTTACATAGATCAAATTAATAATACGATCATTAAGTATTCCTGCCCAAACTATCAATTTTTGCGGGTACTGTGTTGTAGGGTCTTCTTGTATCCAGCGTGGATTTTCAGCTATCCAATATCTGTAATTATGTCTGTTCAAAATTCTGTCTAGCTGAAAAGTTGCTTTATTTGTAAAAGTTATGTTTGACGGAAGGATAAAATCTTCAACTATGTGTGCCATCATATCTTCACAAAACTCAACACGAAGATTAAAATCATCTTCATTTAGTTTGCGAACTAAGTTCACTTTAAATGGATAAAAATTCGATTCTTTTAATATTTTACTTGCAGATGATTTGCTTACGTTATACTACTGGGCAACACTGCGGATAAAAGAATGCGGATTTTCAGTAAATGTTAATAAAACATTTAGTGATTGCTCTTCACCTGCTGCTGATCTTGATCTGGCAGATTTAGGTAGATCTTAATACTAACTAAACGGAATGG